TCATGGACCCACATGGATGCTGCTGTTGGTTAGACTTCAGGAACAGAAGTGACTTTCTCCCTCCAGCGCCTGCATTGTGACTCCAGACCAGCAGCTCTGTCCACAGCAGAGGGAGATGATAGAAGTGACATAAGAGCCCACAGACCTGTGGCTTCCAGGGGCCATTGGCCACAGTGCCAGCTGACTTTGTGCCTTGCATTTCAATCCACAAGTGCAGGAACAGAAACAAAAAATGCTGGGGGAAGGGAAGCCAAAAGAGAGAAGAGCTAAGTGCTTTCCCAGCATTAGTTTTACCATGAAGGAGTTTTTTTAGGTCAAAACAGTGCTGCTGTCAAATAAAAAAAGTTAAATAATGTGGTGTTTTTTTTTTCTTTTACCACCCTTCCTTGTTATGCTAAAAGCTGCAGATCTGGGACACGGCAGGACAAGAGCGATTCCGATCCATCACGCAGAGTTACTATCGCAGCGCTAATGCGTTAATCTTGACCTATGACATCACCTGCGAAGAATCCTTCCGGTGTCTTCCCGAGTGGCTGCGAGAAATCGAGCAGTATGCCAGCAATAAGGTCATAACTGTGCTAGTGGGTAAGTGACGATTGTTCCTAGCAGGGTGGTGTGATGAGGGGATGAGCTGTGCGTGTCAAGGGGTTGGTGGCAGATGGAGATGTTAGCAGGAGGAAAACGTGGCATTTGTGTGAACTGGTGGTGCAGGATGTTCGAACTGGTGCGGCAGATCTTGTTGCCAATCCGTTGTAACTACAGGTGAGCACAGGGTACAGCCGGTGTCTTAAACCCAGTACTTGGACCATTCCTTCTACAAATAACCCCAAGACGCTGATAGTGATGTTCAGCACACCACAGCCGCTTCTGGAAGTGTGGTCCTGTCTCTGGGTTGAGGCTATTGCATGTGGAGGTGGGTACTTCCCACCAGTCGATCCCATATGGGACTAAAGTGTTGATGGTGCAGCTACCAACCGAGCTAAGAATAGAGTGGTTTCCCTTGTGACTCCCAGCTGGGATCTTTACAAATGTATGAGGATCTGCTCAAGCTGGTGATGCCTGCAGGTTGCTGTACCCCATAGCTGTGGGACAACCAGAGTCTTGTCTCAAGTGGGTCAGGATCTGGGATCCACATCAGGATGTGATGATTGGATTGTAGCGTTCATAGGTGGGGCAGAGCTGGAAAACTGGATACTTTTGCATGGATTTTAGGGGAACTAAAAATAACTGAATGTAACATTCATCTGTAGAGCTTCAACTCAAACTAAAGCAAACCTCAGGCCACCTGTCTGCTACCAGCAGGGTGAAGGTTATTTTGCCTACCTGTGCTTTTCCATGCTCTGCTTTCAGCATCTGATAGTCAGGACTTTGCTTTTAAAGGCCCAAGAAAATATAAAGAACAGTGGAAAAATAACTTAAGGAAAGCCAAAAAGTTTCATGCTGCAGTGTTGATATCACCTTTGATAGTTTGCTGTTTAAAAGAAAAAAAATCTAGATGATTGTAAAATGTGTTTAAGGTGTCTTTTTTAAAAAAAAAAAATCTTTTGAGTTTTACATGCCACAGCGGTATTGCAAGTGAGCTGTGGGATTTACAGAGCTTCCGTACAAGAAATTCATTATACTCCATGAGAAGGGAATGGCACGGGTACAAATGGTGCAGAAATAATAAATGACTAACAAATGTACGTATGAATTTTTTAGGGAACATTAAGTTAATTATCAGCGTCTACAGCACAAAATATAAATTATAACAGTCATAACACACTTTGAAGATGGTGATACCCACAAACCACTTGTGTTGAGTGATAATCTGCTTCGAAAGGTAACTTCAGTGTATGCAGTGGGTCCAGGAAACTGCTTTATCAGGAAAGAAAGGAGATCTCGGATGAGAGGAGAGTAATGAGACGTGGCTAGCCAGTGGAAGAGCAATCTCTTCCTCCCACTAGTTCTCACAAAATTGCTGGTACAAGTGAGGCTCAGAGATGTTTCCTCCTGAACCTGCTGAGTCCATGGACACAGCCCCCTGTTATCGCAGGTCCTGGACCATTATCTCCGTTGTAAGATTAACTTATGGTGAAAACATCATGTTTGAAGTGAAGTGGCCAGTAATAGGATATAATCATATCAGATGCTTGCTCAAGGCCTTAATCAACTCTCTGCTAAACCGAGCTCTCCAAAGGAAGGGGCTGGTTTCTCACCCCACCTCGCTCTGCGAGTGCCCCTCAAGCCTATCCCTCTTCCAGCCTCCACTGCCAAATCCTTCATGGGAATATTGAAATAGGAAAACTGTCTTCTGTGCCAGGCTTCTTTTCAAGCTTGTAATCACATGAGAAATATCATGTTTAATGTATCATATGCTATAATTGACATTTTAAGTGCTCCTCAGAGCAAGAACAGGAGAATTTTCAATAGGTATTAAAATGGAAATCCCTTAATGTGGGTTGATAGCAGCAACAGATGCACTGGTGCTAAATTAAAGCTAACAGACTTGGATGTTCACAGGGCATATTCCATTAAATGAGCTGATATTAAATGAACTTGGTCGCATGTGTCAGGGAATCCATTATTTGGAGAGGAGAGCAAGCACTAAGAGTTTCACATCAAAACCACTATCCATACGTATATACAACACCAAACTCTTTTTTATCCCTTATCAACTTCTGTTTCTCTTGTTTTGGAAGTCAAATTAATTTCTTTTTTAAAATATTTTATCAATGCAGGTAACAAGATTGATTTAGCTGATAAGAGGGAAGTCTCCCAGCAAAGGGCAGCAGAGTTTTCTGAAGCACAGGACATGTACTATCTGGAAACCTCGGCAAAAGAATCGGATAATGTGGAAAAACTCTTCCTGGACTTGGCTTGCCGGTTGATCAGCGAGGCACGACAGAACACCCTTGTGAACAATGTCTCATCCCCTGTACCAGGAGAAGGGAAGAGTATCAGCTACTTGACTTGCTGTAATTTTAATTAAGAGTTGGCAGAAGGGGAGATCACATGCCATGGGCCAAGAGGATTTTTTTTTTTTTTTTTTGCTGGGATTTATCTACTTGAAGGGAATTCCTACCACTTTGACCCATCTGACGTACCCTGAGTCAAGTTGCAGACCTGGAAGCATGGCAGGCGGATGGCTCCAGCTGCATGGCAACATAGCAGAATATAACATGGTTTAAATTTCATTTTTTTTTTGCAGTCTCTGGAGCAGGTTAGGAAAACAAGAGTTGCACAAGTGCTTCATGTAATGCAGAACATGAGCTATTGCGTTTCCTTCTGTGGGAGACTAGAGCAGCCTCTCTTGAAGAAGATACTGAAGAGATCAAAATCTCTCTTACAGAACTATGTGTTTGGTCCTTTTTAAAATAAAAAAGAAAAAGCCAACAATGAACACTGACCTTGGACTACACTGGCAATCTTCCGGGCTGCCAGCAAGTGAGCTCTTAGGACATGTACATAGCGTCTGCCCGCGCGTCTTCATGGAGGACTCTGGTGTTTGAAATAGTGTTACGTCCCTCATCTACAGGCACTTTCATGAACATGGAATTAAAAAAAAAAAGTTACATATATCAACATTCTCAAGATTTAAGACATGGATACAGCTCAGTTGCTCCCTTTGGTGCTAGCAGTTCAGCAAATATTCTATAGACCAAACGTAGTCTTACTACATTACTGTCCTCTGAATGTGTAATTTAGACTGGTTAGGAAAAAACACTAATAAGCACTGTTCATGAAAATAAAAGAATCTTGTTACCTCTTTTTCTAGGCCTGAACGTAGTGGGAAAGAACTGTGCTTCTTTGATCTCCAACACAGGATGAAAAGACTTTCCAGAAATAAAAAAAAAGAAAATTAACCATTCCGCTTCTAATTAGTAACGTCCTAATGTGAAAAAATAGCCTTGGGAAAGGTTATTGGAGTTGGAAAAAGCGCACCAGACATGACCAAAATCTCATGCGTGCATGGATTGTGTATAAGGGTTCAAGGAGAGCACAGTTTGAAGTGGCAATCTGCAATATGTCCGGCTTAAAAATAAAGCTTGTAGATACAGTTCTTGTTGAAAGGCAGGCGTACAATTTTGTACAGGGTTTTTTTTAATGCTAAGTGGAAATAGCGATGGGTTGCGAGTGGTATCATTCTGTGTCTGACCCATCCGACTCTCATGCTGTGGAACTGCTCTCCAAGACCCTCTGAAGGTATCTTCTTGGCATCCAGGCTCTCTGTCAGAGTAGCTTTCAGGTTCAGGGCTGTAGAGTCATTTAATTTACCTGATGCTTTGTACTCTTAATCCCACACTCCAGCGTATGTGTAACTGTTTAGGCAATTTCTTTCTACAAAACCCCTGAAGTGGAAACTCTATGGAGTTTGCAATGTTATTCCACCTCTAGTGCCATATGTGAATAATTCATTGCAAATTTACATGTTCGCGTTAAAATGAAATTGGAAGATGGTGAATGCGCACGTGGAAAATGATATTTAGAAGTTTGAGTTCAGTTTAGCTGATCTGGATAAATCTGTTCTGGCAATTACATGGCTGTGATATGCTGTAAATTAGAGTTAATTAATATTTGGCTTTTACTGAAGATTATAACAGAGCTTTTGTATTGGTATAAAAAGCTGCCAGTAAGTACTTCTTGAAAAGAAATAACAATTTTTAAAAAAAAGGCATTTTAAAATGCTTTTTTACATTTTCCTGGAAAAACTTCTTTGGGCTGTATCATGTTGTGCCTTTGATCTGTAATGGGGAGCTGACTCTGTGTCAGAGAGGGGGGATTGGTGTGTCATATGGCCATTTTTAATATTTTCTTGCTATTTTTTAGGTCACTTTCTTCTTTTACGACTAGTGGTAAAAAGGAAGATGTAGAAGTTGTGGTACAAGGCTTGTTTGTCATTTAGGTAACGCTTAGCAAAGAGCTTCTGTAAGTGCGAGATGTTGGGAGACCTGTTATCTGCTGCGCTGGCCTGGTCCTTTTCAGTCTCTGCTCATGGTGTAATCCAGAGGATTTAGAAATGTGTGGGACTTGGTGGCTTCTGCTGCACTGGACCGTGTGGTACAGCCTGTGCTGAGGGGCAATGTCTGTCTTGAGCATTCCCCAAACTGCCAAACGCAGCCTCATTTGAGCTTGTGAAGACCACCCAACTCTGAGACGGCTGATTCTGCACAGCTTTTAGGTAGTTGTTTAGAGCAAGGGTGTCAGAGGTAAAAGTCTATACTCTGTGTATTTAATTTGTAAAAGCTCTTACTCTCCAGATGATGGACTTGTCGGCATAGAATTTGATAACAAATAGGGCAGGGCTGTTTGAGTTGATCAAGGAGGAAGGAGACTGCCCACTAAAACACCTGTGGGTTCCTCAGCCCGATTTCCAAAGGCGTCAAGGCAGGGCAGGTTTCCTGCTGAGTACCACTATAAATGCATTTCAAAGTCATCCTTGCATCACTTCTGGAGGTTGAACTCTAGCACACTATCAAGACTGAACAAGCTGAACTGGTCAAATAGCAGAAACTGCTAACTTTATTTTCTTGCATATTCACTTTGAGGTTTCTAGAAGGCTAAGTCTCTCTTTCCAGTGCTTTCCTAACCTGTAGGTGACTATTTTGGAGACTAGCTGCCTACTAGCAACCTCAAAGCATTGGTTCCTTTTATTGCCAGCAAATCTTCTCCATGTAAGGACTCCATCTCCAGACAGTGATGTGTTTTTTCGGTGAGGGGGAGTGCTGCAGTTGGGCTGATGTTAAAGTGAAATATCTGACTTCTCCAGGGACAAATCTGAACTGATTCCTTTTGAGGTTTATTCTATGTAGACTTAAAAAGTTGAAAGGAAACAATGGTGGTATGTGCAGCGTTTTATAAGGTCATAAGCCAAAGCTGTAGTTTGAAACTCACCTCTTTTTCTACAGTTAACAAACACACTACCTATTGAAGTGATATTTTATTGTAGTAACTCCTTTGCAGGAGTTATTTTTGTACACCTTTGAATATTTCTCTAGTGCATACGGCCCACCTCTCCTTGTAGCACTGAGGGCTTATCTTATCTTCTACATTCTGGTCTACTGCTGAAGGCTTCCCAACCAGAAGAGGAGCTTTATCAACTGCTAATGACAACTTAGTGCTGTGGCATAGTGGTCAAAGTCTTGAAAAATAAAAGAAGATTAAAAAAAATTACAAATCCCAATTATCTGACAATCAGCTCTCCAACTATGGCCAACACCTTGCTAAATGAACGGATTTTTCAGAGAACTGTCAGTAAAAGCCTTGTGATGCTTGCTGAATCAAGTGTCCAAAAGCCATGCAGAATTGATACAATGGGGCCAAATTTGACTGGAAGTGTTTTCTACTATCAAGAGAGCAAAGCATTGCTTTTAGTGTGGTTGATAGATTTTGATGTATTTTCAGGGTGATGTATTCACAGCCAGAGAGTAATCTTCCTATTTCTGGGTGAATATTAATTTTTATAGTAGTCCCATAATAAGACCTTTTCTTGATTATTTTTTTAGCACAATGAGTTGCTCCAAGCAGAAGTCAATATTGGATGGTCAACAGATGTTTGCTTTATTTAGCAAACCTGTTTGCAGACAATAGTAAAAGCATCTCCTGAAAAATGGATGGTCTGAACTCTGTTTTCCAGTTCAGCCACTGATTCAGTCAGGCTGATCTTGAGTAAACCACCAAATGTCCTGTGCTTCAGATCACTGTATGTGAAGTACTTGCTGGTATTTTGCATTGGGTATTTACACTGTAAGTTTGCTAGGACAAGCCATGGCTGCCTTCTGTTCCTGTTTGTGTTCCTCATGAAAGACCAAGTGCTAGGGGAAAAACTCTTCAGGTCAAAGAGTTATGATGGAAAAAGTGAAATTGTGAATTCTGTAAAGAAGGGAACACTAGGTACCTCTTCCTACCTCTAACATTGAAGTCCTGATTTGATCTACAGGTAAGTTGTTTGAGCGTGCAGTCAGATACATGTTTGTGCTGAATGCTAAATGGCTTTGTGATCATTATTTAATGAAAACCACACATGACAAATTGTGAGGCAGGATACTTTGTTCTTTACTGTAGAACACATGAAACAGCCCTTAAAATTTGTCAGCCTGCTGGTGCTGTTTGTCTTTTTGGAAATAGCTATCTTGGTAACAGTTGGCTCCTGCTAGTCTAGGTTTAGCGGTTAATGGCTATTGAATTCCTTCAGCATCAGTAATAGCAGCAGCAGACTGAGGTTAACACAGGAGAATGATTTGAAAAGAGGGAAAGTAAAAATTAGTGATGCAGAAGCATGGTGGGTGCACACACATGGGACAACAGGCTTTCCTGAGCTTTTGCTGACAAGGGATGCAAAAGGATGCAAAAGGATGCAGTTAGTTATAGTCAAACCCACTCGGATTTGCCTTGTTCGTTATCCCTAAGGACTGCTGTTTGTTCAGCTGCTTTTCTACTTGTCTTCTGTTTTCAGTGTGAAGAACTGCCTGTAAGTCAGGCTGAGATGTTGAGCTGGCATGATTTCTGTAGTCAGAGACTGAATTCAGTTGGAAAACAGGTGAAATTCTCCAGCTATTAAAATAGGCTGAGCAGACATACAGGATACTCTGCCCTTTGGGGACCTGCGGTGCCATCGTGGTTGGATGTGGCTGGAGACACTGTCAGAGAAACTCTCTTTTGGCTGTGGGGCAGATGGGGTGCTATGGCCCTTTGGGCAAGGGGAAAGATGACCGTGCAGAGCAGAAAATGCAATGTAAAGAGATGGTTCTACTTGCTTAGGATTTTCTCAATCCCATCTTCTTTTAAAAAATCTATCTATGACTTAGACTTTGATTGCTCTGGACTTTAATAAGGGATGCTTTGAATTTGAGTCTCATCTGAAATTCTTCTGCATTCTCTTGCTTTCGATATCAAAGCAGCCAATATCCTTGTACGGATTGCTCCTGCCAACAAAGACCTTTTGAGTTAATTCAGTTAGAAAAAGATGTTTCTGGAAGACGCTTTGTGAATTCCTAGTGAGCCGGTATGGAAACTCTGAAATGTTGATGTACATAAGGGCTCACCAGAAAACCCACTGGAGCCAAAGGAGATACTCTAATAAATTCTAGTAGTGAAAACCCTGTGAAAGATGTTATATCAAAATGTTTTCTTCCTCCATTTATAAACTTTATTTGCTTATCTGAACAAATTTAGCTCTTGACATCACCCTTTTGCTTTGCATCGAGTCTGTCCTCTTGTTGCTGTGGGTAATAATTGTTCTCGTTACTCTTCACAAGCAGCAAAGGATCATCATTTTGAAGGACAGTCTTGTCTTACAATGAGTGGTGGGCAAACACTAGCTTGATTTCCTACAAGCAAGTAGTGCATCTGACGCAAAGCAGCCTCAACTGGAGCTGGTCATGTCTTTGAAATGTGATCATCCACTCCAGCTGTAGTTAAATGTACCATAAAGGTTACAGACCTCACATCTGCCTCAGTTTAGGATTTATCTTGGCTGGGAAAATAGACAACAGGGTAATCACGCTGACTATGATGCAAGGCTCCCAAAGTAACCCACTGCATTGCTCTGACGTCCCTCGCTAATCACCACCTCGCTAAACTGACCCAAAGTCTCCTTTGCTGTACTGTACTATATCCAGCTGGGAGAGATTGCCAGCTGTCATCACCCATGGATGCCATCACACCCTTTCCCTCATGTGAATGAGCTCTAACTTAAACCAGAAGTAAAAACTATGCCATGGGAGTTGAGGGTGTTTGGTTTTTTTCCAAGTGGGAGCCACAGATCCAGGAAAAAGCACCCTCATCTCTAATGCTTGCCCCTCCAAATGCAGTCAGCTGGGTAGCTGGGGAAAGATGACCCAGATATAGCAGAAACTGAGATGGCAATGAGTGTAATTTA